GTTAATTTTCAATAAATAAAACCTCACAGAACTCAGGCAAATCTTAATTAAATGTTCTAAAGAGAACATTTAGTTAAACAGTTTTAATTTAATGTAAAAAAATAAAAGGAGGAAATCAAAATGCACAAACGGAGCTTAAATGTTTAAGCTTGTCTATAGAGACTGTGAAGCAATAATTCTAATCAGTCAATATGCTGAGCTTCAGAATGATATTTTGTATTCATTGCCGTGAATTCCTTTGCCAACAACACAACAAATAGCAGCCTTTTAACAGCAGAGATTCAACATCTTGGATATAAAAGAGAAACACTGAAAGTTGGCTTTTTCAGTTACTCAGTTATCAGACTCTTATTTCAACCAGTTTGGCCCATTCTCTCGGGTCACTTGTACATGTGATGGAGCGCTCTCTTAAAAGCAATGCACCTGGCTAACACACAGACAGATGGACATACACACACACACACACACACACACACACACACACCCTTATCCCCGGAGACTAGCTGCAAAAGCAATACCATGTCAGCTAAAGCAAAGCACAGGATACACAACTGAACTAAACTAGTGTCAGTGGAATATTACCCAGACGAGCGAACCCACAGACTAGCAGCAAGGTCAGCGGGTCAACAGCTGGCTGTTTGCTCGTGTATTAAAGGAAAGATAGATGGATAGGTAGATGTACAGATGGAGAAACAGGCAGAAGAATGTATTGTGTTTATTGTAACAAGAGGGAGGGTTAAAAAAGAAAAGAGAAAAACTGAAAAAAAAGAAAAGAAAACCACATGAAATTAGGGGACAAGAGACAGATACAGAAGAGTGACGTTGTGCAAATGTCATCCTAATTTGGTCTCATGAAAATCCTAGAAGAGTGCACTCAGTAGAGTGCATATGTCCACCAGGACTGGTATCTCCAAATGCAACACATTCTCACTCCCGACTCGTCACATATTGACGCTTGGCCCTTTAGCATCATTTTTAGACGTTTAAGGCTACGTGGTCAAGTTAGCAACGCTTAGCAACAACAAATATGCAACGTCCAGTAAAGTTAGCGACAATAAATAGGCAACAACCGGTTAGACTTTCAAAAAAAAATTATCGTTTCGCCATTTTTAAACGACATGTTATTAAAGTTGTGGCACGTTGCATTTTGGTTAGGTTTAGGCAACAAAACTACTTGCTTAAGGTTAGGAAAAGATCATGGTTTGGGTTAAAATAACTACGTAGGTCAGTTAACATGTAAGTTAAATTAAGTCACTTGCGTAACTTACACAATTTACGTAACTTAAATAAAAGTATTTAATGTTGACTTTTTGTCAACTCCCACTCTCCTGGTTAAAAGTTGAGGTTCTGGCCCTCCATCCACCCCGACTGCCTCCTTACTCAGTCTTTTGTGTTAAATATCATAAATCTACCTTTACTGTTAAAAACTGACGCTACAGGGCTTCCCCCAATGCATTGAACTATGACACTAGAGAGATCCCCAGTCCGTTACAAACTGACGACGATGGGTCTTGACCATGTGTCCATATGTGACGAGTCGGGAAGTGAGAACGTGTTGCCAAATGGCATTTGAATAACGTGCCAATGTCTTCCGTCATTTTGGGTGTTATCAGAACGCTTTTTTTTTCATTCATGTCATTTCACACCATTTAGTCTCTACTGATTGATATTGTGTAGAGACAGCATGTCATTTTACTCAGAGAATAAAATACCGTGTGATGTTGTGTCAAGAGCGACAAAGTCAAAGGTCAGGGTGGATGGATGGGTCAAACAAACACGACTTTCACCCAGGCAACTGCAGTTGGTGTGCCTTGTGAAACCAAAAGTTAACATTGACTAACATAACTTAACTGACATACGTACGTACAGAACTTCACTCACATTACTAATGCAATTAACTACCGCCCAGTGAAGAGGAGTGCGGAGTCAACAGTCAATGGTGGTATCAAACTCAACAGTTAATATTAGATTGATTTTCAAAAATTGAGAATCACCTCAACCACGAGAGGTCCAAGCTCATTGCTGTTTGAATGCAGAAATAATAGAATAAGAAAGAGAAGAAGAGTCCTTAGGAAATTCACTGCAGGCCACTCTGCACAAAGTCGGCCCCACACTGCGGAACAAAGAAAGCAATGGGCTATTCAGAACCAGCCAGGGACACTATGCTCCATATTTTATTTTATGAAATTACACCTCTCCCTTTCCCCTCCCCTTCCCTGAAATGAGTGATAACGACACAGATTGCTAATCTTTCTTACATACAGAAGCTAAGCTGTACACTGCTGAACAGCACAAATGACTGCAACTTTTCCTAAACTTGCAGCATGTTTTAGACAGGAGAGAGGGCCACAATCTCCAGGGACCCAAAATTCACTAGGCAAACAATACGAATGCAGAGTTTTACAGAGAAGACAGCAGCAGAAGTAGCAGAGGGTTGAGAATCACCCTCTCTCTCGCTCTCCTTCTGCAACCCATATTCTCTCCCTCCAGCTCTCTCTCTCTCTCTCAACATACTGGGTCAGTCGAGCTCCTGCACTGCAGCATAGTCGAGTGATGTGTTAAAGGCTTTTTCATGATTTCAGGACTAAGGAAACTGTACCAATTGGAGTGGTTCTCTTTTCTCTTTTGGGGTTTTCTTTCTTTCACTTCTCAGTTGTTTAATGTAATAAATGTATTTAAAAAATGGCCGACCTGTGAGGATAATCCCAGTCGATACACTTGGTGCAGTATACAGTATAGCACCACTAGTAAATGTAGTGCATGTATGTAACAGACAAAAACTGCACTCTCCTTTTAAATAAGTACAGCTATGGCCAGACCCTGTCTTCGCACTAAACTACACAGCACCACAAAGAAAACCAGAAGTAAGTTGAGCCATCAGCATAATCACACAAAACTCAAGTAAGCTCCTAGACACATACACACACACACACGCACACACACAGTCAAGAGAGCCTTCTCCACATTTCCCACCACGCACACAAACAAACACGAGACGCATGCACAAAAAGTGGAACGTGCCTTTCTGTATGCAGCACCTGCAGTATACTGCAACTTCAGCACCATGGCCAGAGACAGATTGGCTTTTTCAGCAAACTGGAGATAATTCCCTGTTTCCCAAACAGACAAAAGCCTTTCACAACACACACACACACACACACACACACACACACACACACACACACACACACACACAATTCAAAATCTAAGTGGTCACAACCCTCTCTCAGTCCCTTCATAAAATGCTCTCTCTGCTTTGGACTCTCTGTTTGGTTAATTGGACAATTACAGCTTCTTTCAGCCACAAAAGAGCAAAAAAGAATCACTACTTTCTCTAAGTGGCACATCCTTCACAATCCTCTACTGACAACTCCATGTTCTCTCACCCTTCCCTAAGCCGCTTGTCTGTGCTCTCCCTCCCATCAATGGCGCTCTAAAACTGATCCCTTCATCCCATTTTTTAAATTCCTCTCATTATTCATTCCGTGCTGCCATTTTAAATCATGCCTGGGCTAATTAAGACTCCTGAATGCCCATCAAAAAACACACACCAATAGAGCAGAGAAAACACAAGAGAACAGAAACACATAGCAAACGAGTAGCCACTAAAATGACAGAAAGGCCTATATAATATATCTATCCATTTAACATTCCCTCTCTCACATTGCTCAAGCAGAAACACACACATGCATGTGTACATGCGGACACACATAGGCGCACTGACAACTGACAGCGCCTTTCTTCCACTATGCAGTGCAGGCACATACCAGCCAAACAACAACCAGTGGCCCAAAAATATCCTGAGCAAAAATGCCAGAGGAGAGACGAGAGGAGGAAAATATAAGACCACACCACAAAGGAAACCACATCTCTGGGGGCCACCTAAAAAATGTTCCCTAATCCACACAGTCACATCCAGGTTATCGCCTCAACTCAACGCGAACAATATCCACTTATATTTACTGACAGCAAGTGGCTAGAGCAAATTTTGAGCTAGTACGAGAGCCTGGAGAAGCTTTTCTAATAGGCTTATGGTATCGCATATCTCTTAAACGAGCTAATTTGAAACCACTACGTCACGGTTAAGGTTTAAATCAGCCAATTGAAATAGAATTATGTGTCATTACGTGTGTTAATAAGCACGTGTTGCTGTTTTATATCCTGCATTATGTTCTAATAAGATGTTTAAATGAACGCCTGAAAGAAAGAGAAAAGCCTTGCAGAACATTTGCAGCACAGTGGCTTACTGTCAGTGTGTTATGTAGTTTTCATCACTTGATCAGTGTAACTGTGCCAGTATGCAATCCAACCACCACCATCAATCCAGCACAAAATACATCTTAATAAAGTAAGCAGAGCTTGAAGCTAAGGTGTAGGATATGCATCACACAGCTAATTAAGGTATGGGGGTTTAATTCAAATAATGCAAGTATCAAAGGGTCAAAAGTGTGTGAGAGAAACAAGCTAGGCATTTGATTCCACAGAAGTTAGAATATAGTCTGAAGGATTAAAAATGGATAGAAAAATAAAAGCTTCATTACTCCAAAGACGGGCAACATCTACTTAGAACTTCTCTTTCAACATGTGTTTGGAGTTGATTAAAATTCTTAAAACCCAGACCTATGCATAAGTGAAGCTGTAACATCAACCAAAGCCCACAAAATAGATCACAATGCAAACTCAGCAGAGAGAGAAATTTAGAGAGGGAGAAAGAGAGAGATGTAGGGACAGAGAAGGCAAGGACAGAAAGAAAGGCACACTCTGCATTTACCGTGCTGAAGTCTTGCCAACGTACAAACCTCAAGAGAGATGTTGCAAGAAAGGTTAACTCCACTGCGAAATTCAAATAGCACTGACATAATGGAGAAAACATTCAAACAAGCAGTGCATGTTTACATTTCGCACACAAAAAAGAAACATTTAGTCAGACTTCACTCCCATTGGTTGCCGATACAGTATCTAATATTCCACCAAAGTATAAAATCACTTGGAGATATTAGTGCAGGATAACAAGAGGATTTATTGGAATAAAACCACTCAGCATGGTATAATGGGACAAAGCCCAGCACTCATTTGTGAAATATTATGATGGGTGGGTGACGGGTGGAGGATAAAAGGTTACCAAGATATAGGACTATAGCAAAATCATCAATGATCCCAAAACTTTTTTTATTTATTTATTTTGGGGTCTGGGTGAGGGTTGTGGTTAACAGAGTAATGCATTATATTTTTAATCAAACTGAGTGCACACTGAAAATGCTGACCATATAGTCTAACCTCTTGGTCAGGGAAAGGCTTTGTGTGTGTGTGTGTGTGTGTGTGTGTGTGTGTGTGTGTGTGTATTTCTGTGAGTGTGTAAGTGATAAAGTAAAAAAAAAGGAGCAGACAAATGAGGTGGGGCAGCAGAATATGGGGGTACAGCATTGTGAAACTTTCTGAAAACAAAGAGCCTTGAAGTAATGCTACCATGCTTACAAAGGCAGATGAAGGTGACCTCCACTCATTAGAGCAACAATAATTGTCAACAAAAAGAAACAATGAATACAACACAGGTCAGATGTTCCATATTACTCAAGCTTGTAGATTGGATCATTGATGATCAGTACTGGAGATGACTAGACTAGACTAGCTAAGGGCCTTCCCATTTAACAGGGAAGTATGTGGTTTGCTACATATCTTCCATTTAGTGTAAATTTACACTTGTGAGAAACACCCAATTGCAACTGAGGATCACCACTCCTAGTAAACCTATTGAAATCAAAGCAAATTGCATATCATGCCCATTTTTAAACAAAACAGAAAAGCACCCTCCTTTTCCATAGATATTCACAAAGGTATAGACATCAAGATTGCATCATATTTCTCCCAAATTAAAAGTTCACCTTAGGAAAGAGTAAAAGAAATAGCGCTATGATGATGTGTACTGTAACACTATGTATAATCCACAGCTGCTTCCACCTTGATTTTTGTCTGCTTGTAGTATTTGGTCCCAAAAGTGAATCAGTTTCGGATAGGGCAAAACAGATTTTAAAAAATGGCACAGCAAAAAAGATAAGCAATTAATGTTTGCCACAGATGACACCATTGGGGATTAATTTAACACTTGGGATTTCAATTTAAAAGATTAAAATAGCAACATGTAAAAGTGTTGATCAAGCTCTTTCAAGATTGTTTTCTTTTTGTTGATTCAGATAGAGTGACCGGCTTTATTCTTCAATTTTTAAGAAAACTGGTTGAACTAAAGCAAGAAAAAATTAAATTAAAAAGCATGAAACAGATAGACTGTATTGAAAAGAATAAAATTATCTTGTTCCACTAAGGTTTTATATATAGTTTTTTTTCTTTAGGTTTTATTATCTATATCTATAGATATAGATATAGATATAGATATTTAGATATAGATATTTTGAAAATAATTCATACCGAAAATGAAACTTGATGATCTCTTAGGATAAGCATTTTGTGCATTACATTATACTGGAACTGCATCCACTATGCTAAATGCCCAACGAATCTGAACGCCATTTTATCGCCCTCCAGTGGACTGAAGCCACACTGCCTTTGCAGGGAGTCAGAGAAATCAGATGCGCAAATTCAAAGAGCGACTTCCAATCACGTTTTCTTTCGCTCTCTCAATTACTGTATATTAGCTGACATCAGCAATACCCGTTCAGATAATTAAAATTGCAGCGTGCCTCACTGATTTGGTACATCCTGTCTTATCATCCACTTCAAAACCAGCAGCATTCACATTTTCTATATCTTTTACCTTCAGATTACATCCAACTAGGACCAGTAATGTAGTGGCAAATAAAAATTGTGCCCTATGATATCTAGCAGGTTAAGATCACAGGACAAGGTACCAATAGACAGAAAAAATTATATTTTATAGACAAAAAACCCACAACCCTTTCCTGATAACTTAAATTAATTTGGCACTAATCCAAAAATAATAAGGATCTGAACTGAGTTTAAATGTTATTGTCCTCCACTACATTACTGTCTAGCACTCTATTGGTTCAACAGCTATACTTCTATCTCCAGCAGCATTATCTCATGATGGTTGGCTACAGCTTCAACATGCCATTTTAAAAAGACACCAAAAACACAGCCTGTCAATAGCGCTCAACACACAGGTTCCCGTGGCATCAACCCTTTCATCATTTGATTGAAGAGTTTGTTTTTATTAAGAAGGCTATACCAGACGCATAATCACTATACATTGATTTAACATTACCTTTACAATTAAATTCTTCACTGAAATTACAGAATAAATATATGCACATTTTTCTTCAAATCTTTGTGAGAGAGAAAACATTAAAAGTGCTTCCTACAAAGCCGTTAGTGGGTGACAATGGGGAATCCAGAAGCAATGGAGGGGGTGTGGGTGGGGGTCAACAAAGTGCGGAAGTCCAGAAAACCCTTGAGCGTTGTCTTATAATAATATTCACAAATGTTTTACCATCCGTATGTCGGTGCGTCCTTTTTACGAGAAGCACCCTGATATAGACAGAAGTCCTCATTAATAGTAATAACCATATTAATAAGATATAAAAATTAAATAGAACACTGAACTGTAAATGCGTTGCAGTATCTCTGTTCATAATGTGATGTGATAGTTCTGAGTAAATCCCCTCGCTTCCTGCACTGAAGCGAGTGCATGCAGCAAACTGCAGTTCATTTTAATATATGTATTTTTTCTCTCTTTCAATCGTTTCCTACAAACTTTATGTGCACGGCCTCCGGGTGTTTGTACATCCTAGTCAGGGGTAAAAGAGACAGAAAGAAAACCCCCAAGTCAGGGAGACGTCCAGCTCCCGTGCGTCTCTCACATCATGGTAACTCCATAAAAATGGGTTTTAGTGACAGATGTAGTTTAGGATGTTTTGTATGTTTTATTCCCCGGTGCCCCTCTCATTCCTCTTTTGCTCTCTCTTGGGCATATAGAGATATTTATATATTATAAAAATAACGGCTGTTGACATTGCTGGCTACTCTGAAAAAAAGGCACTTCATTGAAATATCTGAGAATGGCCTCTCCTCCAAAGTGATTTGGGGGCAGGGTGAGGGTTGGGGGGGTGGGGACTTTGTTGTAATATAATATTTTATTTTATATCATGCTGCTTTTTCAAGTTTATTTTTTCGTATTGGTTTTGGGTGATTTTGTTTTGAGGGTGGCAAAGTGAATGTGTTGATTTTGTGTTTCATTTTTTTCTCCATGGGCTAGTGATGTTAAAACCGGTAAGATTTTTCCAAGACTTCGAGGTAATCCGGCTTGGTTTGAAGTTTGGCCCTTAACTCGAGGTAATCGCTTTGGGACGGGTCGGGGTAGCAGCCTTTCCCCGCCGTGAAAAGCAATGTCTCCTTCAGCCGAGCATCCTGCTGCAAATCCGGGTACTGCATGCCTGGTGGGTGCGCATGCGCCACATGCATGTCCTTTAGTTTGGGTACTGTCCCATACAAACAGTCTACAAAGCCCACTGTTGGAGTGGGCCTCTGACTGTCAATTACTGTCGGGCAGAGCCCTCCATTCTCATGAAATCCTGCCATGTCAGCCGTGGTGTGGTTGACTGTGACGATGGTGTTGAGTTGAGAGTTGGAGACGGCCAGTGTCCACTCTCTCTCTTTCTCTAACAAGGTTCTGTAGTTACTGTTGCTACTGCTGCCATTGTCTTTCTTCTCCAAAAACTGTGCTCTATCTTCCTCTGCTATCTCCCCCTCTCTAGGCTTATAGATGGGGTTGTTACACATCTGAGTCACAGGGTGAGGGATGTAATCATAAACGTGACCATGGGCATGTGTGTGACTATTGTGAGTGTGTGTGTGCATACTGGGTGTCGGTTTCTCTGGTGTGCCAGTGTTACCGGCACTACTCTGCCTTGGTGGGTCCTCAAAAATCCTGCATTGCATTTGAATCCCCGTCAGATCTACCTCAGAACGTTTCCGGAAGGGCAGCTTCTTCCTCCGACGAAGAACAAAGGCGAAAAGCCCAGCAGCCACAAACACAGCAGAGATGAAGAGGATGAGAAGGCTGAGGATGAGGACAGACAGTGGGACAGCCCCTCTCCCACCCGCTTCCCCCATGTCAGAGCTTCCCGTGGTGAGGTCATCCCCACCAGGCAGGGCCGGTGAGGGGCCTGAAGAATATTTTAGCTCAGGACAGATGACCTCAACCTCCAGCGAACGCAGATCCTTCCCAAAAGCAAACTCAGGTGTCTTGCACATGACATCTCCAACCACAATGACAGAGGAGAGCTTTTCCAGCCACTGTTTGAGGGGGATGATATCACAGGAGCAGTCCCAGGGGTTCTGATGGAGATCAATCTGGACAATAGAGGTCAGATGCTCCAGAACACCACGCACAGGCAGGGAAAGGAAGTAGTTGTTGCGGAGGTTGAGGCGTGCAAGGTTTGTGCCAGCAAAGGCGTCAGAGGGGAGCGAGCGCAACAGGTTGTCATTGAGGAAAACCAGCTGGAGGTTTGGCATCAGGGAGAACGAGTTAGGTTGTATCTCACGTATGACATTATACTCAAAGTAAAGATAACTCAACATCTGAAGTCCCCGGAACATCCCAGGGGAGAGCCTCTCAATGTCATTCCCATTCAGATATAAACTCTTCAAGTTTGGCAGGTTGATAAAGGCGCCCTCCTGGACGTACGATATCCGATTATTCCCTAAATGCAGTAAATCCAAACTTGAGAAGTTCCAGAAATCAGAACGGTAGATTTTCTGTATTAGGTTCCCACTGAGATACAATTTCTTGGCATTGAGGGGCCGAGGCAGGAGCTCAGAGATGTTGTGAAAGCCTTTCTCTTTACAGTTCACTGTTAGCCCCAGGTCATTGATGTGAAGGTTGCATGTACACCCAGCTGGACAAATGATTGGAATGGGAGGCCTTGTTTGGTAGCCAGCAATGGGGGGCTGGTTCATGCCCGGGTAGATGCTACGAGGGGTTGGGGGGTTCTTTGTGGGCCGAGGTCGTTTGGTAGGCTTGACAACTCTTTCCTTGTATTCCACAGAAGAGGCTGTGTTGTGAAAGGAGGAGAGCATGGAGGAAGGTTTAGTAGGCCATGTGTTCTCATTGCTGAATGGGACCCGGGGAATTCCCAGCTTGGCCTCAATCTCTGCATCGGAGAGCAGCGGACAGAGCTCACTACGCTTGATTTCCCGTAAGTCTTTCCCATGTAAGTGGAATGGGTACTCACATGTGATCTCACCAACCAGAGCTGTATAAGGGATTCTCTCCAGCCATGTTTTGAGCTGGACAATCTCACACACACAGTTCCAGGGGTTCTCCTCCAACTGGATTTCCATTAAGCTCCTTCCAACATACTCCAGCGTACCCTTATACGGCAATGTCTTAAGTCTGTTTCCTCTCAGGTCCAGATGTGTTAGTGACACAGACCGGAAAAGGTAATTTGGGAGCACAGGAATCAGATTGTCATTTAGTATGAGCACTCTCAATTTGTGAAGGTGCCTGAATGCACCACTTTCAATCCGTTTGATAACATTGTAGTCCGCCTGGAGATACTCTAAACTCTCCAACCCCAGAAAAGTATCGTTCCGGAAAACTTCTAGTTTGTTTTCATGTAGGAACAACCGTTTAAGTATTCCTAAACCATTGAATGCTCCAGCGTGGATGTCTTGCAAGGCGTTATTACCCAGATTAATGGATATGGCATTGTTGAGATGGAGGAAGCTGTTAAAGTAAAGCTTCCTCATAGAGTTCCTCTGCAGGTTGAGCTTGAAGGGACGACTCCATATCTGGGAGATCTGGCTGACATTTGTAAATCCTTTACTGTCACAGTGGACGTGGAAGATGCCCTCTTTGACCTCGCAGTAGCAGGGCTCGAAGCAGGGCTCGTCGATCTCCTCGGAGTCCTCTAGTAGTGGGATCGGGGTGGTCCATCCTAAGGCTATGGTGCTCAGCAAGGTAACCCACAGCATCCTCGCTGACACCAAGGGGATGAAGTCTCGGCTCCAGGGATAGAGCCACTTCACAGCACTGCAACACAGAACAGAGGGAGAGAGAATGGGGGTAGGGAATACACACACAAGTACACACACACCCTCACAAAGTGAAGGTGAGAGACAGACAGGAAGAGGTAGGAGAGAGAGAGAGGAAGGGTGCATTAGTTTCAGTAGAATGGAAGACACCTTTGAAATGAATACCAATGAGTAATAGAATGATACTGAAGACTACTTTAGATGTGACAATATTGCTGGGTATTTCAAACAAAATATAAGCCCAGCACTCCTAGATGGGTAATATGAAACGCAGCAACTGCAAACAAATCTCTAGATTCAGACAGTTAACGTCATTATTTTGGGGAGATTGCCATTTATTATACAGACAATGTGCTGGTAAGGTCGCAATAAATCACCTCAGAGATGCTTATCACCGTAAATAAACGAAGGCAACAGCAGTTGGGTGAGGTTAGTGTTGAGAAGACACCATCCCCCGGCTGTATTTATTACATAACAGGGACCTCGATCCCTCTTTTGGTAAACGAGAGTCCAGAAAAGCGCTGAGGAAAATTAGAGTAGGTCTAACGCAGAAAGAGGACAGGAACGGAAAAGGTGTCAGCTTGTTGGCCATTAGTGGAAAGAGATGAGAGACTTGCTGAACATACATCTCGTTAAAATTAATCTCAATATATTTAGGCCTATATATTCTCGTCTATGGCACGTGGAAATCTGATTTGAGGTATGAAAATGTAAATAAATATGTGAACAATGCCACTAAGGCTACAGAAAATGCAAGTTCTGAATTTACCAGTGACAATAAGGGGAAAAATAGTCCAATAGGTCCAATGATTCCGACGTGCAGAAAACGAGCCTAAGCTATTTGTCCTCTGTGTTTTCCTGGGTTAAATGCCCCACGGATAAACCAAATGGATAAGGAAAACTGTCGATTTATTCATTGCATTTGAACTTGTCATTTGCCAAAAATACAATCAATACAACTTCTTCTGCCTTTCCCAATTGGTGATTCCATTTGAGGATTAGAGGAGCAACGGTACAAGTGAAAAGCGCACTGGAGCTCCTGCTCCAAGAAACCCCGTTATGAGGCTGTGATTCAGGAGATCCGCCCGGCCTAGAAAAAGATATAATATATAAGGAGGGCGACTAAAAAAGGTAATAATAATAATAATAATAATAAAGGTTTCTAAAATGTTGCTTTCATTTCATACAGATGGACTGGTCGAAAATTTCGCTCATTCTCGCCATTGTGTTAAGTGAGAAAGAGTCCCACACAAACACACACGCACAAAGTCTCTGAATATCTTTTCCGTAGGCTGTGACTTCTCACGCACACACACGCGCACGCACGCTTTCCCTTCAATCAAGGGTGCTGAAAATCCGGAGGAAATGCGCTGGGACCGTCTGCCGGAGCAGAGCCTCTGTCCAGGGTGCTCTTAACCAAAAGCCCAGTGAGAGGACGGGAGGAAAAAAGAGATATGTTGTAATCCCCGAAAAAACGTGACTGTAAAACAGGGAAAAAATAAAAGCTCCTTGAACATTTCCTCACTGCTCAATGTTTTAATTTCCCTCTCCAGGCGTAATCCTCCAGGATTTATTGATTCCGCTTCGATGATCAAAAAAGCGCATATGCGACGTCAAAAAAGTAATAAAGGTGTTTAAAGCAATAAGAAACAATGCGTGCCGTATTACGTTCCCTATGGGTGTATCGGCTCTGGTGTTATACGTACTTAGTTTAGTGGGATTCCAACTTCACATGTCCTCCTGCGTTGTGTTCTGCTGTTGCCCGGTGCGTCCCGCTCACCGTCCGATGCCGGGCTGTGAGGAAGAGAGGAAGAGATGGGGGGGGGGGGGGGTGATCGAGCCGTTAGAGGAACAGGAGGAGCAGAGAGGGAGAGATGGAAAGAGAGAGCAGGGCATTGAGGAGGGAGAGAGGAAGAGATGCGCATGTGAATGAGCCACGAATTCAAAACCAAGCTGGCGAGATTCTCCACAGCCACAGTACTTACACGAATTAAAAGTGCTGCTCATCGTGAGTGGCAATTTACGTACGACGTATTTAAAGATTCCAATCTTGAATTTATATCAAACTAAGTTATTGATAAACGATGCAGTCTAACCGAACCAGGCACGAAATTCCGCTCTCATTTACTGAAATTTCCCCCAAAATAACCTCAATGTCAATACAGTGGAAAGCGCAGAGCGCTTATTGAAATACATGCCAAGCATAATGCAGTAGCCTTTCGTCGTGACATTGGCAGGAAAGCGGCGAATTAAGAACAGACGACTATTGATCAGTCGTTATCCTCGATTTATGGAGAGCGCCTGTTGTCCCTTTTTGAAGTCCATTGCTATGCAGACACCAATAAGCATATGAACACACACACACACACATACACACACATCTGCATGAGATTTCCCTTATGATACACTCCAGCACAGACAAACATAGCTCAAGCACTCACCTTAGTTTCGTACTGCAATTGGAAAGCATCGGGGGGAAAAAGACCACTAGTATAAATCTTGTTAGATCTCTTGCTCGTTCTCTCTCTCTCTCTCTCTCTTTCTTTCTTTCTCTCCTTCCCTCACCCTTTCTCACTCAGTGGCTGAGGCAAAAGAGAGGCGAAATGAAGACGTGATAGGAATGCAATCTCTCCCACTCTGGCTCTCCGGTGACTCTGACTCTCTCCCCTTCTTTCTCGTCTTTTTTTTCTCTAAACAGTTTGCTTAAAATGCAAGTCCTCGACTTGTGCCCAGTCCGCTTCCTCTTCCTCCCCTCTCCTCCTCCTCCTTCTCCTCCGCCGCCGTCGCCGCCCCCCCGGGCGAGCGCTCAACAACAGTGTAGCCGGGTGAGAGTGTTCTCCTATTGGTTTCAGGACCGTGTCTCTGTCCGGTGCAGCAATAGCAGGGGTCTGTATATCATACCGATGGTTGGGTCAGCTGCTGCTTTTTAGCCTTTCTTTCTTTCTTTCTTTTTCTTTCTTTCTTTCTTTCTTTCTTTCTTTCCTCGGGTCCGTTTCCCTGTCGTGCGTCAGAGGAGTGAGGGACTGAGCTTGTGAGGTGGAGCGAGGGGGGGCAAAGGGGTGAGAGACGCAGTAGAGAGAGATCTGGCGGTGAGAGAAAGAGGAGGGGAGGAAAAGAGTGACGGGGACGGTTGCGCTATAGTTCTGGATGCTGTCGAGAGGAGGAGAGGAAGCGAAGTGGAGAGAAGAGAGACTGAAGAGCGCTCTGGCTTTCGCAGCGGGGACGCGCGTCAAAGAAAAAAAATGAATAAATGAGAGTCAGGGAGCGCGCCGTGCAGGGTGGGTGAGACTTCCAGACCTGTGGATGACAGATCAGGACGCAAGACGACTCTCTTTCTGCACGAGCTTGATTTTTTCAAATCGAGATTTATCTAATAATAATCACAATGATACTCAATTATTTTACTGATGGTAATTTTCCTCAGCTGCAGTTGAGTAAAATGTGGAGTTGGCAGCACTCACCCTGCCGATACCTCTTCCCTCTGCTGTGGAGACGGAGCGGGTGGCCGCGGCAATCTACTGCAAGCGGGGGAGAGGCAGGGAAGCACGGGCTTCATCTTTCCTCGCCGACTGCGTGCTTTCCCCCGCCTCGCCTCAAGCGGGCAACACAAGCCCGTGTTGTGAGCAACAAGCCAAGCCAGAGCTCGCAACCATGGCTGAGACACCATCACGATTTCCAGTTCTTGCTGCTCTGCAAGGAGGGGGCTGATTGCAGTAGAAAGTTGAAATCTCCCCACAGGATCTGAAATGCATTTACACAGTTATGACACTGTACAGTAATCAGCCATATTAGGCTGCTGTAACCACTGTCTTATATTATTATTATTATATTATATTTGCACTCTACTGTAACTTCACAGAGAGGATCCCTGATTTGTGTAAACAATCTGCCGCTAATAAACTATACTAGGATTGTTTCACATTTCTAAGGAGATCATTCAACAGCAGTAAAGAGTGAACAAAGTTGATGACATTAAGCTAGACATGATATATGAGAGAAGGAGATGTTATTGGTGGAGAAAACTGTAGTCTTTGCTATGTGCTCTGTGCAACATTTTTTCTATAGGGGGAAGCTGATCAAGGCCTCCAGTGGTCCTCTCACCCCACATACAGAATCCTCTGACCTTTAGGATTATTTCTAAAATGATCCTGTTGTAGGATTAGATGAGTAAACCGTTATCCCATTTGAACCCCCTGTTGAGATTTACCACTTTACATTTTGCAGTGGATTAAAGTAGGCTAAATGATTGATCTCTCTAGAGATGATTCTCATCAATAATCTGCACTGTTGTCATCCTAAAGGTTAGGATACCCTATCGTATTTATTTCCCAACTGCTAGTTCATTGCAGAATCAGTTACAATGCACATGTACCAGATCATGCCCTACATTAAAATAGCTACACACACACACACACACACACACACACAGACCGTTACTAACACAAACCAGGATGAATGAAAACATTTGTAAACAAATACTTGGGGACACCACTATTAGAAGTGTATGTTGGTTTGTTACAGTGCAATTTTCTTTCTTAGTCAGTTCATTTGAATCAGTCCCCACCTTATACAAAAAAAAGCAAATCCACACCAATCCACACAAGCATACTGAACACACACCAACACAAGCAGTGGATGGGAGGTTTGAGAAGAGTGTTTGGGAGCAGCTGGTGGTCTGTAAAACTGCCATTCTTCTTTATGAAAAGCCATCATTCACTCCTTCAGCCTGTCAGCTAATGTCAGAGAGACTGACATAAGGCCACCACAAAGCCTTCATTCAGCTCACAGGACATGGATTGTCCAGAGTTTGTCACAATGAAGCTGTAGCAATCTTAACATCACAGATTGGGGCTAATGGGATCACCAGTTAGAATTTCCACCTTGAGTGACAGAACAAAAACTGGCCATTGATCGTTTTTGGTTTGACAAGAATCATGCCAAAACAAGATCGCCTTTGCTCTAAAAAGAAAATCTTGGATTTGAGGGACCATAAATGTGTTGGTGTAACATAAAAAGATCCAGTCATGAGGAGTTTATTTGCATGGTTGATAAAGTTGATGTTTTATGGGGCTTTGCGTCACCAACATTATTTGATTCAGTTCCATGGAAACAATAAATAAAAAATAAAAGACTCTCATCACCAGAAAAATTACAAAAAAACCAGCAGCATTGGTCATTGGTCCTATCAACAATCAATTATTTTCTTTTAGCCATGACTACAATCTTTTCATAACCATTACCACGTATATTTGTGTACAGTGATGGCAGATCAGACAAAGGTTAAATGACTTGTTTTTGTAACTGGCATGCTGGCCATTTTGGAAAGCACTTAAAAACAATATGTGGGTGGATTTGGAAGGCACTTTCTGCACAAATGATCTGTTTTGTCATTAAGTTTAAGGAACATGTAAGGAAATGACGCCTTTGACCACGATAAGCAAAATTATTCAGAGTACTAAAACTGTGCCAAACCTGTGAAAAGGCCACAAAGGACGGAGGAATCACTGCCAGGCATACAACGGGTGCAAAGACTGAAAGATGTTCAAAGCCCAGTCAAAATGTTTGACTGATACATGTGGACATATTAATGGGCATTGCAGTCAACTCAGTCATCACTGACCTTTTAAAGTCATTACTGCATGATGAAGGGGCATCAGTGACAACTCAGTCATCATGGACAGCAAGTCACACTGACACCAATGGGGAAGGAAATGGCTGCCAGTACTGCTCAACCACAGCCACACTCTGAAATGAATAGAGACAGGAGATGTACCTGTACAGTACAGGAGATCATTCATTCACTCAAGTTTACAGTACATGGAGTTTTGGAAAAACTGGTTTGGATGCAGGTTAGGGTAAATATTTAGATACTTCATATTTAGATACTTAGATTGTACTTGTTTCACCAGTATGGTAACATAGGCCTATTACACATCCCAGTTAAGAGGTTAATGTGCAGAAGTACTGATAGCAACAACACTTAGCCTCTATTACAACAGAAAAGGCTAAGAGAGGGGAATATCACTTTAATTTTAAAGGCACAATTAGTACTGCAATAAGCATAGAGATTATAGGTATATTTACATATTATTTAAGAGTTTAACTTAATGAAAAATAGCCATTTTCTCTAAACTTTGGCCTTCTAGCCAATGAAAAGGAGGGGGAAAAGTTTGGTCTCCATTAAAAACTTTCCCCCCTTTTTTTAGCTGCCTGTCACCTTTTGAAACTTTCCATTACCCCGTCTCTGCTTGTCATCGGAGGTTTCAGTGACATACCTCATGCCACCTGCCTAAGTCTTTCGTGGACCACAAGGGATGGTGGGAGGCACAGTCAAGTAATTCCTTCTCTATCAGCCTGTCTGTCTATCTGTCTCTCTTCCTGTCAGTCTGCCAGGACTGCTTGGAGTCAATACGTCTGAATGCTGGTCTGCCATTTCTTGCTGTCCACTTACAGGCCGCCTGCCAACCGGACCAACTCCCTGCCAGTCTCTCTACCTGATAGCTTGCCTATTTGGCCGACTGGCTGCCTGCTTTCATGTCTGTCTGTCTCTGTGCCATCGTGCCTACCTGCCTGTGTGCTTGTCAAGGCGACTGCCTGTCAATCAGAGTTTCTTTATGAGGTCATAAGGATGTGCCTTGGTCTTATAATCAACACAGACAAACAAAGAGTGAATCAATCATACAGAGGGATATTTTTGGGAAGCGAAAAAATAAAGCGACGTGGATAATTGTTTTTACTGTATGCTCAAATGCACATTAGATTTTGTGAATGGAAAATGTCTCATACCTTTTACTCTAATTAGCATATTCAATAGTCATTCACTGAAGGAAAACAAAAAATATGTAATTAGTTCAACATCTCATCTCATGTGGTAGATTTTTCCACTCACTTACGAGCAATGAACACGAAATGACTGTCATGTTTTTTTAATTTATAACACAAGTTCAGTCTGTTCTTTGAGAAATGCCGCATGCTTTGTTGATATTTGATATCAAGAGATTTTACGGGAAGCCCAGAGAATGTTTGTAGAACGCACCGGACAGAAATACCACAAATATCAAAAACAATTAATGTCTTAAAAACAACAAGACAAAAACATTATTTAATGATGCATATGGCTTTCATCAAACAGAAACACTGCCAAGAAAATGGACTGTCTGTCTAATTGTTCATTTTTTTATACTATCTTTAGTGGATTGTGCATTCCAGTTTAATTAAAAGGGAATGCATATGGGCTGCTGACTGACAGCCACAAGAAGCTATAGATAAGGGTGTAAAGGGCATTGTATGAAAATAAGAAATGTGTAGCTGCATTCACTTTAAAAGTTTTCTTTGTAGTTCAGGGCCTCGCCTTGAAATTCCAATGTGTTCCCGACTGAGGATCTGGTCTGGCCTAAGCTTTAAGAAGCTGTGGCTTGGGAAATCTTTGACTTGGAAAACAGAACTGAAAAGATTCTTTGAGAAGATCAATTTATGTTTGTATTCAATTTGAACAATGCTCTCATTTTTATTCTCACATTATTTTTCCATTGAAGCCTAGAGAATATTCATAGTGGAAATTAAGCTAAACCCCATGTGCTTTACAAAAGTACAATTAGTTTCTCTTATACAGGCGGATTCTCACCGGATTAGTTACTGCAAATATTCTGGGCCACAGAATAAGTTAAATGTCACACTGGGGTTTGCTTTGGTGATTTTTTCTTAAGTTTATGAACTATGTGTGTGTGTTGGCTGCTGAGCTGCACTTTAATGTGGTCACGTCTGTCTGATTGGCCCAACTGTTCAGGACAAAAGAGCATCCAAATATAAAACACACACACACACACACACACACACACACACACAGTATCTGACATTGAGACAGACAAAGTCAGTGTAGTAGTCCTTGTCTCACGAGAACATTGCATTGTAAGGCCTCATAGTGTCTCTGTTCTGACCTCATAGAGCTTCTCATCATAAAACCCAGGAACAGAATTGTCACTGTTACAAAAACAAGAGACCAGGAGAAGGGTACCTATGGAAATGCAGTATTCTTCCTTAGCTGCTTGCATAATTAGAGAATTAAATATAGTGATTTAATGGAGCACTCTTTGTCCTGTCTGTCGCCGTCACTGCATTCCATCTGTCTCTGTCTCTGCATATTCTTTGTCTTTAGATACAGTGAATATATAAACCTTTATATATGTATATATATGCCTGTATATATATGTATATACATACGTACCCCCCCCACCACACACACACACGCATGATTTACCGAAAGATCATGGTTATTGTTTATAAAAATCTGAGCGTTAATCAATGACGGGAAGTATGCATGAAAATGTCTTGCATGAAAATTGGACCCACAACACGCCAATTCACCACCATGAATTCCTAGCTAGCACTGAACGTTGGCAGTCGACGTAAAATTTCCAATATGGAGCAATGTTTCTCAAATTACAAGACGATGGCCGTATTCCCAAGTCTACTCCAATATATTATGAATTTTGTTTTGCAGACACTTTTATTCGCAATCAAATTATATTTCACAACCTAACAATACAGGAGTAAGTACATACATAAAAGTTGTAAAAGTTCCCCAAATCATTTTTGCATAAAGCCCTCATAAGAAGGTCTTTCACACCAGAACGTCTTGCACAAAACATTAATAACCCCAGTCAGATCATTGACCTCCTGCGACAATTACCTTTGATTTTTGCATTTATGTGTGTGCATGCATGTGTGTCACGGTATGTACAGTCCATGCATGCATGTTTTGTTTATCTTCTAGGAGTCATGCTGGATGGGTTTTTGAGCCTGTAGCCAGATGGTGTCCTCGCCAAAAGCCTGTA